GTTTCACCTTATTAATATTATGATTTTTTTAATTTTTTTTTAATCTTTAGATACTAGTGAAGCATTTATACATGTGTGCATGTATATAGACGTGAGTTGCTTGTGAGAAAAGCGTTGTCACGGTCATTATCCACCTTACAAGCAACGCATAAAATAAAGCATCCCATCCCATCTACTAACCAGAAGACACCGTTAATTTGGTCCAACTAATAGTAAGATTGACAGGAGATCGAGTGGTGTGTGAGGTGAGAGACTGTTGGATCAGCCTTCACATTTCTTATTTTTATACACTTAGCTGAGTTTGTTGGCTTTAATGGCTCTTGCTTTATTGCAATTCGCGTGGTTTGTTTACTTTTTGGAATATTAGTTGCAACGTCTACAACGCTTCTCTGCCCTCTGCTAGCTGAGGTCCCTCATGTTTTGGGCTTTTAACTTGGTTTCTTTTTGCCAAATCTTAATTACCAAAGCAAGTTTTCTACCATGCATGCATTCCCAGGTCATAATCGCACGAGCACTGTTACTCTTTTATGTAGTTGATGAAGAGCATGGCTTCTGTATATTACAAGCCCTCGAATCTAATCATTCAAGACACGAGTCGTTCTCGAACATATGAAGAGCAGCTGGGTATACTGGTCATGATGATGATGATGATGGTTACAGGAAGGAAGGAAGAAGATGTGGACATGTCAACGTCACCTGAAGTTAGATGATTTCGAGTTTTTTGAAGCAACATTTTCCTTTTCTTTTTTGCGATCTTCCCTATTCCTTGAATGATTAAAGTAGAAGGGTGCATCAAATGATTATCATTTCGTGATAGGTGGGCTCTTTTTTTTAAAAAAAAAAGAAAAAACAGAAGAAGAAGAAGCAAGCATTAGATCAGAGATGCGTGTTAATTTCCATGAACAAGTAATTAGTTGTTTCCCCAAAAATACAAATATAATAATAAGAAATTGGTGCCCTTGTTAGTATGTGTTGTAATTATAGCCCTTGTTGCTTTAAAATACCTAAAAATATATTGAAAAATATAAATATTTTTTAAAAATTTATTTTTAACACCAACATAAATACAAAAACACTCAAAGCTATTTTTAATTTAAAATAAAATATTAAATTTTTTTTAAAATAGTTTTATAATGCAGAAATAAACTAGCTATAGCTATTACAAGTAGCAAGCTACGTGCAAAACGTATGATGATGGATTGCTTTGCTTGAAGGACAGAAATCCATAACTAAAGTTTGATTTTAGGAGCTATTAATTCTTGATCAGGTTTGCAAATTACCCACTATTTACGTTTAGGAAAGGATTGAGAAGCAATCTCTGGATCGAGGGGCACTCGTCATGATCATAATAATTGATTCTTCCTTTTTCAACATAATCATAATATTCCTCTCTCGTTGCAAACCTCACAGAATTCAAACGTTAAAGAAGGGAAGGAAAATGTGAATTCACATTATCCATGAAGGCTTCACATTACGTCAACTAATATATTATTATTATTATTATTAGAATAATAATGCTTGAATTGAAAAATAGCCTGTGCTACAATTGAGCATTTGACTTGTAAAAAATGCCCGGTTTCACATTCACAGAATTGACTTCACCTTCAGCAAGCACATTGACTGGGTTTATACTCACATGGATTCTAGAATTCTACCATTTCTTGGGTGGTTCAACCCACCCCATTTCAACATAATCTTAATTAATCTTCAAAGTCCACCCCTATACAATACATCCATGTGGTGGTGAATTATCCATCCACTCTACCCTTTCCAACCCCCTTTTCCTGTTCTTTCTTGTAATAATTATGATTTAAAATATTTTTTTATTTTTCTAAATTATTTTTGATATTAGGATATAAAAAAATTATTATTTTTAAATATTTAGATTTATAAGAAATATGATTTCAACCGTATTTTTAAATATTGTCTGAATTATCGAAGGTTAATAACATGTTGCATAATGTTTCTATGAAATATTTTTAAATTCAAAATATATTAAAATAATAATTTATTTATTTGTTTTCAGCATGGGTATATTATATTAAAGTCATTTAAGAAAATAGATAAAAGACTTCTACTCTTTTTCGCCATTTTGCAAGCTCTTACGTCCCCTCCTAAATTCTCCACACGTGCCCACGAGGCCCATGCCAAGTCTTTGCCGTCTAGGCGGCCAAAGCTGTCAAACCCACAACTACATCGATGCGTCGTACACTCTTGTTCAAGGCATTGTCCCAACTAACCTTCAAATAACCCTCCACGTTTTCTATATAAAAAGGCACTTTAGCAAGTAGCAACAAAATACACCCAGCAAAGCATAGTTTCATTTGCCAGCTTTGTAAAATGGACTGGACTAGAGGCCACAGCATAGGCCACGGTTCCACAGCCACCGTTTCCCTCGCCACCTCTATCCAATCCGGTGATATTTTCGCCGTCAAATCTGTCGAGTTATGCCAATCCGAGTTCTTGCAAAGGGAGCAACAGATTCTCTCTTCTTTAACCTCTCCTTTTATAGTTAGCTACAGGGGCTGTGACATCACTAGAGAGAACAGCAAAGTTATGTACAATCTCTTCTTGGAGTACATGCCCAACGGCACTCTTAGCAATGCAATCCATGCTCATGGAGGTCGGCTCGACGAATCTTTGATCAGGAACTACACGAGTCAAGTCTTGCAAGGTCTAGATTACATACATTTGAACGGATTGGTGCATTGTGACATTAAGAGCAGCAACATTTTAGTGGGACCGAGCGGTGCCAAGATTGCAGATTTCGGGTGTGCAAAGCGTGTGGACCAAGTAGGACAGATCGCGGGCACGCCGATGTTTATGGCGCCAGAGGTGGCGCGTGGAGAGGAGCAGGGGTTTGCTAGTGATATATGGGCTTTAGGGTGCGCAATTATTGAAATGGCTAGTGGTAGTACACCTTGGCATAATGTCAACGATCCAGTTTCCATCATTTACCGGGTAGGTTATTCGGGTCACTTACCAGATTTCCCCTGTTGCCTGTCGGAACAAGCAAGGGATCTCTTGGACAAGTGTTTAAGGAGGGACCCAAGAGAGAGGTGGACAGCTAGTCAACTTCTTAAGCATCCATTTTTGGTTGGAGAAAGTAATTCTCATGTCGCAAAGCAAATCCAAGAATCCAATTCAAGTTCGAATTCTCCTACAAGTATTCTTGATCAATGCTTTTGGAACTCACTGGACTTATCGGAAAGTTTACATAACTTGGTCTCGGTCCCTCCAGGCCGTGAAGGTTCTGCCGGAGAGAGGATCAGAGGGCTGTCCTTGCTCTCAGGGATGCCTAAGTGGGATTGGGATGAGAGTTGGACTACCATCAGAGGGGATAGCAGGGAAGAACGTGATGCCATTATGGATTGCATTGGAGTCAAAGATGATATAGTTAGTTGTGGCCTGGGAGAGCAGAAAAGCTATGGTGGTAGCGAGGAGCTGTTAAACTTTCTAGATAGCAACATTAGCAGTAGAATTATTGATGATTTTTGGGCTTCCTGTAAGCATAGGAAAGTTTGTTTTGGAAATCCTTGTCTGTCAAGATTACCTTTACAAGCATAAATCATTCTCTTTTTTGGACAGATGGATGATTTTTTTTCTTCTTATTGGTAAAAAAAATAAAAAAAAAAGAGGTTAAACCCATGTTTGGTATTGCATTTCAACATGAATGGAGTAAAATTTGAATATTTTTGTTTAAATTATTATTTTTAAATATTTTTAAAACATTTTGATTTGATGATATTAAAAATAAAAAAAATATTATTTTAATATATTTTTATATAAAAAATATAAAAAAGTAAGCATTAATCTCAACCAAATTCATTGTTAAATGTTGAGTTTTGTTAAATACAAAGCAGCATAGGGTATACAAGTGGGATTTGGGAGGTCTTGCCCATAGTCATTAAGCTTACCATAAGCAGGAAAAATATTATCAACTCAATTGAAAATCAAGTTAATTTAAATAAGTTATTTTTATTAAAGAGCATACGGTATAGCGAGTGGGATTTGGGAGGTGTTGCCCATAGTTATCAAACTTACCACAAGGAGAAAAAATATTATCAACTCAATTGAAAATTAAGTTAATTTAAATAAGTTATTTTTATTAAAATAATATCATTTAAATTTTTTAATTTTAATTTTAAAATTAATCTAATCATGTTTAACTAGAATAAATTAAGAAAAATTTAACTAAATCAATCAAGTTTCACCATGTCAATATCTTTCCCGATTCAACTTCAAATTCAACCCAAAATATTACAACTATGCACTTACCAATTGCCATCACCTAACCCTATCTTCTGATTCCGAGTTGAGTTCAGATGGCAGAAATGGCCAAAAGCAACCGCGAGTTAGGCCACTTCCATTAAAACTAGCCACCAAGTCCTCCCCTCTGCCCCTCTGTTTCTTTATATGGTAGGTTAAGTTTAGACCCAACTAAACAAGGCACCGTTCCAATTAGGCCACCTCCGCCGCTGTCCTTCGGTTCGGTTGGTAAAACAAATTTAAATTCCTCCAAGTCTAGTGGCTGCATATCTGGCCACGTCATCTGCTACTGTTATTTGCAGGTGAGCTTGGATCATGATTATGTCACATGATTCTGTATTTAAATGTCACCAATTTTATTAGATGGATTCGGGTCACGTGGATTCAATTACATCACAGGGGTTGAAGCGGCCAATAATAATAGATAATTAAATCAGTTGACTATATTAAGTCCACATGAATTTCATCACAATTATATTGCTCTTTTTTTTTTTAATTCATAGTTTTATATGATACCCCATTTCTAATTGTTAATCCTTTGCAAAAAATAGGCTTTAGATAAAAAAAAAAGTTTTAATAAAATCTCTATGTTTTGAATTATTTTGAATATTAAGAATTGAGTTTTAAATTTTAAAAAAAATATAAAAGTAAATCTAATTTGTTGCTAAAATATATAGTAGAAATTATTATTATTATTATTAACAATTAGTTTTTCTAAAATATGCATTTACTCGTTTTTTTGTCACTTTTCTCTCTTCCATGAAAGGTAAAACACATGCTACCATGAAAACCTCAACAACAGCACCACCATCAAAACAATCTTCTCTTCTCATCCCATCCCATCTCATATTTTGTTCTTAATTTTATGGCTCATGTAAACTGGACCTTAGGGTAGGCATTTGAATTTGGTTTTTGGAGTTATTTGGGGTGATAGTGATGGATGAAAACTTGAGGTAGAGAGAGGGGGTTGTTGTGATAATGACGGAGGGAAATTATGGTGGTTGAAGGAGGTGACTTCTTTATGGTTAGAAAGATTTAGAGCATTAAGAGATTTTTTGAATGAATAAAGTAATATAGAAAATAAAACATAGTGAAATCAATGATAATAAGTATAGCACAAACATGTAAATTCAACTTGTTCCAAGCATATGAGTTAATTTTTTTTTTTTAAAAAAAAAAAACTTAACAACAATGCCTCTCAAAGCACTGAGCGACACCAACCGACCCTTCGTTTCCCGACTAAAGACGCCTGAA